CTGTTGGGTGGAATCACAGCCTCTGGGATAGGAGTCCTCAGTGTTTCTCCTTTGTTATCGAAGCAATAAAACAGGGCTGGGGCTCAGTGGTAGAGCGCTTGCCTAGCATGTGTGAGGCACTGAGTCTGATCCCTGGCACCACATAAAAAAAATAAATAAAATAAAGGTATTTTGAGGCTGGGGTTGTGGCTCCGTGGTAGAGTGCTTGCCTAGCACCACATCAATGTGTCCACCTAAAACTAAAGAAATATTTTTAAAAAATTATTTTAAAAAGGTATTGTGTCCACCTACAACTATATAAAATACAATATATTGCAGTAAAACTTTTCCTTTTTATTTTTTTTTTCAAATATTTTTTAGTTGTAGGTGGACACAATATCTTTATTTTGTTTTTATGTGGTGCTGAGAATCGAACCCAGTGCTTCACGCATGGTAGGCGAGTGCACTACAACTTGAGCCACATCCCCAGCTCTGTTTTTCCTTTTTCTAAAAAAAAAAAAAAAAAAAAAAAAACCCACAGGCAGAATGGAGGGGACAGGTCTAAGCTAGATTCACTTCCCCCTCCCCAGCTCTGTCAAAGCCAAAAGAGGCCTTCCTCTTCCTGCAGCCTGAGGATGGATGGTCAGCACACAGGTAATGAAACTGAACTTAAAGCAAGGCCAGAACTGTAAAGGGACACCAGATTCCAGTTCACCCAGGATGGACTTAGGGCTATAACTCAGTGGTAGAGCACTTGTCCAGCATGTGTGAGGTCCTGGGTTCAATCCCCAGCACCAAAAAGAGAAAAAAAAAAAGTATCAAGTTCACCCAAGGGGCGGGAGTAAGGGAGGTCCCAGCAGGCAAGGTCTGGTTCACTTGAGATCACAAGGAAAGAGTGGGGCTTCAGTCACTTCCGGAGGACACGATGCCTGTGGGGAGGGGTCCAAGAGAGGTCTGTACAGCACCTGGGCGAACAAGGAGGCCTGTTCCCGAGAGTGGCCAAAGGGGTCGATGTGCCAGGCCACATGGGGACGCCCGTCATTGCCGAAAGTATCTTTTAGAAAGCGCAGCCCAAGTGTCATCTGGTCCACGATGGCCCCGTAGTATGTGGTGGCCTCATCGTTCATCACCCAGCCACCGTTGACAAACTCCAGGCGCCCTGTGCAAAGAGAGTCAAGACTGGAGCTGTTAGTTGTAGGGCTGGGTGGGTGATCCTAGAATTGGAAGACCTGCCTGCACACTCCAGCCTCAAAAGAAAAGAAGGCACACTTCCTGGCCAGTGAGCCAGATTTGGTAAAGAGGGCCCTTGCATGCCAGGCTTCCCTCCCCCACCCAGCCCTAGCCCCCCTTTAAAAAAATTTTTGGAGGGTACTGGAGATTGAACTCAGAGGTACTTTACCACTGAGCCACATGCCTAGCCCTTTTTATTTTTAATTTTAAGACAGGATCTCACTAAGTATCTGAGGTTGGCCTCCAACTTGCCATCCTCCTGCCTCAGCCTCCCAAGTGGCTGGGATTACAGATGTGTACTACCCCCACCTGACATGGCAGGCTTTTCAGAGCCACTGGAGGTGGGGCCTTGCAGGATGCCCAGGAATTCTCCAATTAGGCTGGCATAGTAGCAGCCCATGATCCCAGCTACTCCAGAGGCTAAGGCAGGAGGGTCAAAAGTTGCAAACCAGCCTGGGCAACTCAAGGAGACCCTACCTTAAGATTTAAAAAAAGGGCTGGGGATGTAGCTCAGTAGTAGAATGCCCCAGTACGACCAAAAGAAAAAAAGAGTTCTCCAAGTTAAAGGATTCCAGGCTGGTGAGACCACATGACCCACAGCTTGCACCAAGCATGATAAAATCTCAGACACCAGGTTTTCAAAACCAAATTGGGCTAAGCTTCCTCTTTTCACTTCCCTGGGGTAGGCTTACCCTGACGCACCAGATTCCTCACGATTTCCTGTGTTGCATTTGTCTGTTGGTGCCACCAACGAGAGAAGAAAGCAATTTCCACATAGATGAAGCGACGGTTGGGATCCTCCTGGAGAGCGGAGATCACCGAGTCTAGGATGTACTGCACACCCGCGTGCTGGATTTCATTGTGGACTGTGGATACACAGGCCAAGGAGGGCCAGCAGAGTCAGAGGGACATTCCTTGACACAGGAGCCAAGGCTATGAATTGTCCCACTGCAAAGTCCAGGTATCAGAGGGAATTAAAGGAGCCATGGGAGTCACAGGGGCCAAACCCCAATCTTTACTTACTGCCATAGAAATACTGGTCCACGGTCTTGAGCCAGCCCACGTCGTCATGTGTGTGGGCCACCAAGTGTACATTGAGCTTGTTTGGCTTCACTCTCGGGCATGTCTGCGCAGGGACCCCAAACACACACACACACACACACACAGAGCCTGTCAATAACTCCGGGGTTAAGTGGTAGGCTGGGAAGTAGGGAAGGGGGATGTGGGAAGCACAAGATAAATCCTGATCTCAGAGTGGCTCAGAGAGGTAGAGAGGCTGTTACCTTATCCTGACTATGCAGGAGGCCTGGTCCTCCAGGGTAGAACACAGAGTTGCTCACAGATCCAACTCCCACCCTTTGCACAACCCTACAAGGCAGCCCTCATTCACACCCCGAGGAAATATTCACAGTAGTAGCTATGTTTGCGCCACTGTGGGAAGTGGAGCAATAAATATCACGCCTGGTTTTCAGGCGAGGGCACTGAAGCATAGAATGGGAGGCAGCCAGGAAGTGGGCAGTCCAGACTGGAACTCCAGACAGGCTAACTCCAGAGTCTCACTGTCAGCCAGCTGCTTCCCACCCGCTCGCTGCCCCTCCACAGTTAAGTGCACACACAACCCGAGCAAGCGAGCGAGGGCGGGCGTGCAGTCCGATGCAGCCCCGTTCTCCGACAGCCTCTCGGGCCACAGTGTTGTATCAACAGCTATTCACTAGGCACCTACAGATCAAAGTAACCTACATCTCGGGACAGTACTCGGGCTTCTCTGGCTACTGTACATTTCCGCTGAGAGCCCGACTCACCTCGTATCCGGCGGCTCGAGCGCCCGGAGCCGCCAGCAGCAGCAAAAAGAGAAAGACAGGCAGGAGCGGCGCACGCAGGGCGCGGGAGTTCACCCAGGGCTCGGCGGCGTCCTGGCAGCCGCCAGCGCAGACCCACGAAGCCTGCGCGCGGCGACCCATAGCTCCGCCACCGCCGCGGTCTCCTGGGGGCTTCCCGGACGCCTCCAATACAAGAAGAGCGCTCCGCCCCTAGAACCGGCCTGGCCAATCGGCGGGGACTCGTCTAGGGCGGGGCCTTCCCTGTCACAGGATTGAGCTTGCAACCCTAGGAACATCTGGAATTGCCAAGATCAAGGGAAAGAGCAGGTAGTGTCCCATCCTCTAGGTGCTGTTTTGGCCGGAGGCGCCTTTAACATCTCGCTTTGGGGATCTGGAAGCCTGAGTCACCACAGCAGCAGAGTTCTCATGTTTTCCCACGGACTCCAGGTTTTCCTAGGGGGTGGAACGTGTGCGTGGGATACTAGGGGCTGCTTTCAGGACTGGAGTCCTGTAGGCACCTAGCTTGGCTAGAAGGGTTGATGAAGGTCTTGTTCTGTAGTTTAGAGACATCGGGTAAACAACCCGTCCTTGGAATGTTGGGAATGACAGGCACCCAGCCTTTGGAATGGATCCCTAGATCCTCCAGTAAGGTGGGAGGGCCTTGCAGGTGGTACAGGACCCTGAGTCTTTTATGCCCTTTCCAGTTGCTATCAGTCCATCCAGTTTGCAGACATTACTCTAGTCCTGGTCTAAGAAAACCAAAGCACAGATTGCACAGGTCAGCAGGGCCATCAGCTGAGTTGCCAGAGGACAAGGGTCACCTGGCACTTGACTTAAGTCGTGAAGTTTGTGAAAGGAGGGTTTGAACTACCAAAAGGCTCCAGACTGGGGCTCCACTGAGGCCTGAGTAGAGGAGCTGAAGCCTTTTTCTCAGCTTTGTGAACATAAGAGACAGGTTACAGAGGACAGCCAGAGTGAGAAACTTTATTAACAATTTCAACAAGAAAATGAGTGAACACACCTAGAAACATGAACAGCATCTCCCCCAGTAGCAGGCAGGGTAGGGGAGACAGGAAGTATAGGCCTGTTTTTCCCCCTCAGTGCCCCAGCAGAAGTGGGACCCAAGGGAAAGGGCCAAGTTTCCTCTGTCCAGCTGGGGACCCTGAGAGCACCTCACTCAGGGAAGTCCAAGTCAGCAGCTGAGTGCAGAAGGTTGAGTAGCCAAAGGCCAGGCCAGGGAGAAGGTGAATAGAGAGGGTCCAGATGAGACCCCTCGACGCTGACATCACCAGGGGGGTGTCATGGGCTGAGGATTCTGCAGATACGACATCACCACGGCAGAGATGGACAGCCTGAGATAGGCAAGAAGAGTCAGACCCAGATGATAGGCATGGGTCCCCCCCTCCCCTAATGCAGGAGTCCCTCCCTCTCTACGCCAAGCCTCACATGAAGCTACTCATCATCTGCTTAGTGTCCTCAGAGCTCCGGGAGTTGGCAAAGCTGATGAAGGAGCAGTAGACTGCGACCCAAGCACACCACTTCAGCTGGGGAAAGGTAGGTGGGTTGTGGTTAGCTGGGTGAGAAGCATGCCAAGAATCCCTAAAAATGACATCCTCAGGCACCAATGATTTTCCTTTGCACAGCTTGGATCTTGCCCCTCAGGAGTCCCTTAGTCCCACCCCATAGGTTTCTGGTGCTACGACCTGGCATGCATCTCTAAGGCCATATCATATCCCCGTAGACTCAAGAAGACTGGCCTTAGATTCCCCACCTGTCATTTTTCCATCAGTTCCTTCCAAGTTGCTTCAAAGCCAGGCTCCATCCTCAAACCCACCCCTCCCCAATTCTGCCCCAGGCCCGAGCTTTCCCCAGCGTGGGCTACATCAACCCCGCCCAAGGCAACTTTCAGGCCACGCCCCCTCGGCTGGAGTCAGACGCCCCTCTTCATTCCGAACCCGCCCCCGGACCTCATTCTCTAGCGGAGCTACTCCCACGGAAACACAGCTCCGCCCACCTTAAGCATGAGGCCGCACATGCTGAAGATCATGCCCAGCAGGTTCATGTAGTCCGGCGTCGGGTCGTCCAAGGCTGGATTACACTCGCTCGGCGGGGGCTTGTACCTGCAAGAGGCTCAAGAGTCAGGGGCGCTCAAGTCACGTCCCTGTAATGAACAAGCACCTTCTTAGGCCCCGACCCGAACCCATAACCTAAGCCCCATTGCCATGACGCTGGAGTCCCCACCTCAGCACTTTGTTTGGCCTCCGTGGGTCCGACATATTGTTCGTGGACATAGCGAGATCAAGTTGCGCGTCTTCCGCCGCGGGAGTTACAGCTTCCGGCGTGGAAATGGAGGGTGGTTTTTAGAGTAACGCGCGCAGCCCTCGCGGTTCGGTTCCTAACCGCGGAGGCCAGGACTACCAGCAGTCAGAGGACGGAGAATGAGAGGATGAAAAAACAACAAAAAAATCCCCTGAAAATGAGGAGGAGGAAAAAACTGAAAATGGGTTTTAGTATTCCCAATACTGTCACCAAAATACTGAAAATTTGAACCCGGAAGTGAAAGGAATGGGGAACAATAATAAGGTTACACCCAAAGCCTCCAAATCCCCGTTGCCGACTGAGTGATGCTAGGCGGTGAGGAAGGGGTCCGAGACTATGGCTTTCCCTGAGCCAAAGCCTCGGGGCCCGGAGCTGCCGCAGAAACGGTTGAAGACGCTGGACTGCGAGCAAGGGGCAGTACGAGCCGTGAGATTTAACGGTGAGCGCCCTCACCTTCATTCGGGTCCTCCCGCTTCCTGAGGCCAGCGGCCCAGAACCCCCTCCTCTTGTTCCCCAGTGGACGGTAATTACTGCCTGACGTGCGGCAGCGACAAGACCCTGAAGCTCTGGAACCCACTGCGGGGGACGCTACTCCGTACCTATAGCGGCCACGGCTACGAGGTGCTGGACGCGGCCGGGTGAGCCGGGGACCAGCCGGGATGGGAGGGCTGAGGCCGGGATTGGAAGTCGACGTTGACCTTCTCTCCTGCTCCCCAGTTCCTTTGACAATAGCAATCTCTGCTCCGGCGGCGGGGACAAAGCAGTGGTGCTATGGGATGTGGCATCCGGGCAGGTCGTGCGCAAATTCCGGGGCCACGCGGGGGTAAGTTCAAGCTTGGAGACCCTCAATGGAGCGTGCATGATGGAGGGGACCGTTAACACGTGGGTGATGCCAAGAACATCTGTCCACTAGAGTCTCTCCCCCATGATCAGTTAGTCCCCAAGCTCTGTCCTGCCGTTTGCCCAGAACCTTTCACCTCTCCAGTTCTGCTATGTGCCCTTGCTTTAACCGACACTGAGAATCCTGTCATTATCCTAATCCTCCTGAGTAGCAATTCCCGTTTCTTAGAAGGTGAACACAGTGCAGTTTAATGAAGAAGCTACACTCATACTGTCTGGTGAGTCTGGAACCTTGGTGGGCAGTGGACAGTGCTTACAGCTCCACATCTAATCTCACCTTTATGCTGGACTTCCAGGCTCTATCGATTCCAGTGTGCGATGCTGGGACTGTCGTTCACGGAGGCCTGAGCCAGTGCAGACACTGGATGAGGCGAGGGATGGCATATCTAGTGTGAAGGTGTCAGATCATGAGGTCCTTGCAGGGTAAGTAGATCTAGGACCTTACCCCTCTCTCAGTGTCACTGAGATCCTAGCTGCCTCTGCACTTAGATTAAAATCTGCTCTCAAAACTGGGAGGTGTTGTTCATTGGGTTCTATCCCCATCTCTACAAAAAAGCAAAAAACACTGCTCTCTTTTTTAGCATGCACAAGGCCCTGCCCAGTGTGTCCATTGCTGATCCCTCAACTTTTATTCATCCTTGGGCTTCATTTCTGTTAAAAATGCCAGTCATGCTCCCACCTCAGGACATTTTCACTTGTTCTTCCTCTGCTTGGACTGTCTCCACTACTTACTCAATGTATTTGAGCACTTACTGCATACTAGATACTTCCTTAGTGGCCATACAGCAGTGAACAAAATGGAGAAATAGGGGAAAGCCCTACTCGCACAGGGTAGCTTTGTTGCAGGACACAATTATTTTTTTCAATTCCATGTAGGACTGCCCCACCCTGAGGGAAAGCCATTGCTACCACATGAAGGATTTGGGCTGAAACAGTCCCATACTGTGTACATATATGAATATGTAATAACAAGTCTTATCATTATGTACAATAACAATGCACCAATTTAAAAAAATGTGGGGGGGAAAATACAGACCTAGAGGCTGTTCTCTTTGTCCTAGGACAAAAATTACAATTTTAAGGTTTGTTTCCTTCCCTTAAAGAGATGGTTTCTTGGGACTGGGGTTGTGGCTCAGTGGTAGTGCACTTGCCTAGCATGCATGAGGCACTGGTTCGATTCTCAGCAAATAAATAAAATAAAGGTCCATTAACAATTAAAAAACATTTAAAAAAAAAAAAAAGAGAGAGAGAGAGTTGGTTTCTCACTACATTGCCCAGTCTGATCCTCTTAGGATCAAGGAATCTTCCTGTTTCAGCCTCCCAAGTAGCTGAGACTACAGGTATACCTGCCCAGTTAGTTGAAAGATCTTTTGTGGTGGTTCTAAGCTCAAACCCACAGACCTGTAATCATGCTAGGCAAGTGCTCTACTACTTAGCTACACCCCTAGCGCAGGTCTTAATTGTTTTATTTTTACTCTAGAATTGGGTAGTACTTCATTCTGTAAAACAGAATAAGTGCTGTAGAAGAGGTTGGTTTATACACTGAGAATGGCTGAAGAAAGCAGAAGCAAAGACCAAAAAGCAGATTAGTCATCTCAAAGTCACTTTCTAATGCTGAGGCCATAGCTTGTGATAGAGTGCTGACATGTTCAAGGCCCTAATTTTGATCCCCAGTACTGAAAAATAAATAAATAAATAAAGTTACTTTCTGGGGCTGGGGCTATAGCTCAATGGTAGAATGCTGTACAATGTCCAAATGGCAAACATCAAAAAATAAAAAAAGAAGGTAAGGTTACTGTCTGATGGGCAAACATATTATTGAAAAAATAATTGATTAACATTAGATTATTTTCTTTATATAAGGATTAAGGCAGAGGACACTTATCAATTTAAACTGGCCTGTTTGGGGAAATTTGGCTATCTTCTCCTGATTTTTCAGAAAGTCAAATGATAATAGTTTTAGTTTGGTGATGTGGAACTTTAGCCTGTGTGACTCCATTTTGATTTTCCAGCCTGGTCAGCTGGGCCCAGTGTAGGAACTTAGTCTAAAACAAAGGTCTCTTACAAGCTGACCTAGTGGGATAGGCTTATAATCCTAGGTACTTGGAAGACTGAGGCAGGAGGATTCCAAGCCTAAAGTTAGCCTGGGCAACTTAGTGAGACTGTCTCAAAACTAAAATTTTATAAAAATTCATTTATTTAACTTTTTTATATTCTTTGGCTGGGGGTGGGAGTGCTAGGGATTGAACCCAGGGATGTGTAATCATCGAGCCACATACCCAGAATCTTTTTGAGATAGGATCTTGCCAAATTCCTTGGCCTCACTGAGTTGCTAAGGCTGTCCTCAAACTTATGATCCTCCTGCCTCAGCCTTTCAGGTTGCTGGGGTTATAGGCTTCACCTTGCTCAAAACTAAAATCTTTTAAATCCATTTATTTATTTATTTATGTTTGGTACTAGGAATCTAACCCAGGAATGTTTGCCACTGAGCTTCATCACCAGCCCTTTTTGAAATTTTGATGGATCTTTATTTTATTCATTTATTTATATGCGGTGCTGACAGTCAAACCCAGTACCTCACACATGCCAGGGAAGTGCTCTACCAGTGAGCCACAATCCCAGCCTCTTGTTTATTTTGAGACAGGGTCTAAGTGGCTGAGGGTGCAGGCCTCAAACTTACTTTCTTCCATTTATTTGTTTACATATATATATACCAGGGATTGAACCCCGGGGCACTCAACCACTGAGCCACACCCCCAGCCCCTTTCATCTTCTATTTTGAGACAGGGTCTCACTAAGTTGCTGAGGCTGGCCTTGAATCTGCAATCCTCCTGCCTCAGCCTATTGAGTCACTGGAATTATGGCTCAAACTAAGTTTAACAGAGGCCTTGGAATGGAGCTCAGTGGTCGAGCCCTTGCCTACCATGTTTGAGACCCTGGGTTCAACCCCTACACAAATCCCATTTGGATGTTACCTACTCGAGGAGGCCTTTGTGTATCTCCCTTGGTCAGTGCTGGCTCCACCATGGCAGAAAGTGCATACGGCTTGGCCGGGGCTGTGCCCCTGGCCTCCATACAGGGCCTGGCCCGGGAATCACTCGGTGTGTATGTTAACTGAGTCATCTGAGTAGTTCCTTCTGATGGCCTTGTGAGGAACTGCCTCTTTCCCTTTCCTATTGAGGAAGGAGGTTAGTTCCTTCTCAAACCACACTCAGGCAGCCAAGTGCCATGTGGTCCCAGCCCCGCCCCCCCATGTCATTTTTGCCTTACCCAGCCTTACTTAACACAGCCCTTCATTCAGGTTTCCAGGCTTCTTAGCAGGCTTGGAACCGGTTGCTGGGGTCACAGCCACGAACCAGGCAGACCTGGTCCCTGCCCCATAGAAGCTCCTTCTAGCAGGACAAATGGACAACCAGTGGAGAAATAAATAGACCTAATATAATTAAATCAGTGGTGAGGGTCAAGGGAAAGGAAGGGGTAGCAGGAGAAACCGACTTGGGGGCCCTTTAGATCATGGGTGGGAGGTGTGGAGAAGGCCCTGGAAAGGCCGAGACTTGGAAGCTGAGGGACCACCCAGTGGAGAACTGGAGCAAGAGCAAGTACACTGGTGGGCTGGTGGCACACACCCAGCTGCTAGAGAGCCTGAGGCAGGAGGATTGTGTGTTCAATGCCAGCATCATCAACTTAGTGAGGTCCTACACAACTTAGGGAGATCCTGTCTCAAGATAAGATATAAAAAAAGGGTTGGGGTGTGATTCAGTGGTTAAGCACCCCTGGTTCAATTCCTGGTACAAGAAAAAAAAAACGTGCACTGAGAAGTACCTGGCCAGACTGAAGGTAGCGTGATGCCTGAGACCATGGAGGAATGAGGACAGAGATGAAACCAGGAAGTGGTCAGAACCACCTGCAGAGGGTCTAAGCGCCTTAGGAAGAATCTGAACATTTACTTTTCTGAGCAAGGGAAGGCCAGGTTTCTTTCTGTGTGTGTGTGTGTGTGTGTGTGTGTACACATATATACTCAGTGTAGTTTGAGTGTATGTGTGTGTATATATATATATATATATATATATATACACACACACACACACACACACATACACATACATATACATACATACATACATACACATTATATACTCAGCCTGAGTGGAAAGGGAAAGGGAAAGAGGCAGTTCCTCACAGGGCCATCAGAAGGAACTACTCAGATGACTCAGTTAACATACATACTGAGTGTGTGTGTGTGTAATATATATATTAGTTATACATGGACACAATATCTTTATTTTGTTTATTTATTTATATATGGTGCTGAGGATTGAACCCAGTGCCTCACACCTGCGAGGCAAGCGCTCTACTGCTGAGCCCCAGCCCCAGCCCCAGCCCCAGCCCCAGGGCCTTATGCATGTGAGGCAAGCACTCTACAAACAGAGCTATATCCCCAGCCCCAGCATCTGTACTTAAGAATTTTTTCATAGACACTTGAAGACTGTAGAGGGAGGCCAGAGCAGCCAAGGAGATGATGCTGGAGGGGGAAGAAAAGGGTCAGGTTCTGAGACCAGAGCCATGTCTCAGGATCTGCAGGACACTGATTTCATAGTAGATATGAGAATCCAGGGATGCTTGCTGGGTATGGGCACATACCTGTAATCCCAGTAACTCAAAGGCTAGCCAGTTCAAGGCCAGCCTCAGCAACTTAGTGAGAGCCTCCCTTAAATAAAAAGGACTGTGATATAGCTCAGTGGTAGAGTACTTCTGGGTTCAATCCAAGGATGCTCAAATCCCTTCTAGAGGATAGCATAGTATTTGCGTAGAACCCACTCACGTCCTCCTGTATTTATCTCTGGATGACTTGCAATACCTGGGATAAACACTATGCAAACAGTTGTTATACTGTATTGTTAGGGAACAATGACAGGGAAAAAAGACCACAGAATCCCTTTTGTTTTTTTGCAGTACTGAGGATTGAACCCAGGGTGTGCACATGCTCAAGCATTCGAACACTGAGCTGCCTCCCTAACCCCAAGTCAAAATATTTTTCATCTTCAGTTATTAGTCCATGGGTGTGGGCCTGTGGATAAGGAGGGCTACTGGAGGGTGATCTGGAGAGCATGGGGAAAGGGTGGTCCTGAGGGGCTCCATGGGCTTGAAAAAGGGGGCTGTGGATCTTGGAAACAGGTGGAATGGGACCAGTTAGTCCTGGGCCTAAGCCATAAAGCCATTGCCTCAGCAGGCACAATGGTGCATACTTGTAGTCCCAGCTACAACTCCAGAGGCCAAGGCAGAAGGATCCTAAGTTCAAGGCCCAACCTGGGCAACTTGGCAAGACCCTGTCTCAAAAAACAAAGGTTGTGGGGACTAAGGATGTATTTCATGGTAAAGAACCCCCAGGTTCAAGGAATATCCTGTATTACAAGAAAGAAAAAGAAACAAAGGAAAGCCGTTTGGTTCAGAATCTCATTTGTGTCCAGGAACTGTAAACCTAGCCTTGCCTGTCATGGTCTGGCCAGCTGGGAAGACACAGGGCCACTGAGGTTGCCACAGAGCCCCCGGCCCCAGCCTGTGCTTCAGCTGGCTCTACCCGCTTCTGCAGATCTGTGGACGGCCGCGTGAGGCGTTATGACCTGAGGATGGGGCAGCTCTTCTCGGACTACGTGGGCAGTGAGTGTTGCGGCACTGGGGATAGGCAGGGACAACAGTGGGCCAGTCAGGAGCACTGCAGCCTCAGCGGCCTGCCCGTTCTCCCCCAGGCCCCATCACCTGTGCCTGCTTCAGCCGGGATGGGCAGTGCTTGCTGGTGTCCAGCCTGGACTCCACCCTGCGGCTTCTGGACAAAGACACCGGCGAGCTGCTGGGCGAGTGAGTGTCCACGGTCACGGGCCTTCCCCCCACCCCACCCCTTGTTCAGAGGAGCAAGCCCCTCTGATCTCCCTCACCCCCAGGTACACAGGCCATCAGAACAAGCAGTACAAGCTGGACTGCTGCCTGAGTGAGCGTGACACTCATGTGGTCAGCTGCTCCGAGGATGGGAAGGTGTTCTTCTGGGACCTGGTGGAGGTGAGCCCCCCCACCCTACTCCATGCCAGGGCACTGCTCTGCCCCAGCCCTGTGCTCCCCTCAGTCACGCCCATGCCTGAAAAAGAATATTAGGCCTAGGAGCTGGGAGCTGGGAGGAGTGAGGATGGGGCAAGAAGGACATTCCAGGCAAAGGGAACAGCATGTGCCCAGGCTCAGAGGCGGGCACACACCAGGCCAGGAAGGCAGACTTTGGGAAATGTGTCAGCAGCAGAATTCAGGTCAGACAGGGCTGGAAGTGCCAAGCAGAGCTGCTGGACTGGCCCCTGGATGGAGAGCCAACAGCAGCATCTGACCCTGAATGAGATCAGGCTGTAGTTCAGGAAATTTGAGCTGCCTCTGAGCATGGTTTTAACTCCAGAGCCTGCCTGGATGTGTCCAGCCTTTGGGAACTCCAGGGCAGAGTCCAGTCAGAGGAAGAAAAGCCAGTTGGCCACCAGGCAGGTGAAATCAGTGATCACGACATGGTCTACAGGCAGAGCCAAGACCTGCTGGTAAAAGGAGTGAGGTGTTGAGGCCATTAAAGGCCAGGGGCCAAATGTCTGTGGATTGGTGACTGAAAGCTTTAGCCTGGATCTTGGGGAGCGGGACAACCAGACCCCCGATAACCTGCTCCCTACTGTTCCCTCCACAGGGTTCCCTGGCACTGGCCCTACCTGTGGGTCCCGGTGTTGTGCAGTCACTGGCCTTCCATCCCACAGAGCCCTGCCTGCTGACCGCCATGGCGGGAAGAATCCAGTGCTGGCGAGAAGAGGCCTATGAGGCGGAAGGTGGAGCAGGCTAGGCCTGGGACTGCCACCAGATCCAAGGACCAAGACAACTGCAAAGGGCTGCCAGGCACCCTTTATTCTAGAGATGCTGCAGGCCAAGGAGTGGGAGAGGGGCAGAGTCTACAAATTAATAAATAGAGGACGGGTGAGGCCTTCAGGGGCTGCATCCACTCAGTCCTCGTTCTTCTCAGCCGTGAAAGCACCTGCCTTCTTGGCAAAGGTTTCAGCCACAAGCAGGGGGAAGACCAGGGAGGCGTCAGCGTAGACCTGTAGAGGGGACCTAGGTGAGCCTCAAACCCATGGCCACAGCCCAGGAGACCCTGCCCCCCACCCAGCCAGCCTCTACCTTGACTGGCTGCGCATCCATCCGGATCTTGCCCCAAGAAACAGCCTCATCCGGCCGGGCACCAGAATCCGAGCCATCAAATTCCTGGGCCGTGTTGATGTAGACAGCATAGTCAGCCCCATTGCGCTGTAGGGAAAGGCAGAGTGGGCCTGGTCAGCCGGTCATCAGACAGGAGACGAAGAAGCAGGACATCAGCCAAAGAGACTGAGGGTTGTGTCAGCCAAAGGAAGCCCTCAAAAGTTCTTTTTTTCTAGGGAAGCTTCAAGTTGTGTGTATACAAAATATCAATGAATTTCATCTTTGGACTTGAGTATCTTCCCCAAGATATCTCATGTATATGCAGATCTTCCAAAATAGGAAAAAATATCCCCAAACTGAAACACTTTGGGGCCCAATCATTTCTTTTTCTTTTTTTTTTTTTTGGAGGGATGTTACTACTTTTGTAGCCACCGCATCACTTCGTCTGTTATAGTGAATAACAGATGAGAGGCAACCATTCAAGAGGGCAACAGAAAACTTTTTCGTTATAAAATGACAGAACAGGTAAGCACTCACCACCCAGCCTTTGGTTCCTTCTGACCTCTGTCTCATCCACACCAGCCTGCTTCTTCCAGAATGGGCTCTGCCCTCAGTTACGCTAGTGAGGAAGCCATGCTACCCTAACTTGGCTGAGGAACCTGGAACAGCCATCTTTGATTTCAGCTTCATCCCAAGGCCCATGGGTATTTTTTTAAAAAAGTGGCCAGCAAATGAGGTAGAAAGGGCAGAAATGAGAGGCGGAAACCAGCAGAAAAGCAAAGACTGGCTCCCTCACACTAACGGACAGCAGGCCTCCCAAGGCTGAAAACGCAAAAGGCAGTGTGACCCCCACCCACCTAGCTAAGGGGAGTACGGGCCATCAGTTTCTTCTGAAGCATGGGCCACAGTGCAAAAATCTGGATGGCAACTTCATCACCATGACGAAGGTATGCAGGGACCAGGGAAGATGTGAGGCCAGATAGAAGCAAAGAGGGCCATGTTCGAGGACAGTGTTCTGGATACAATGGCAGGTTTGGCTCCACAGTCAAAGACGAGGTGGCCCAACAGCATGAAGACTGACATGGCACAGATGGTGTCAGTACTAATGGACTCTGTCAGGGTCTTCTGCACTGGTGAAAAACTGTAGGTGAAAACAATGAAGACCAGGGCACTCAAGTAGCCCATGGGTCTCCTCGCTCTTCTTCCGCCCTTCACCTTCATCGATGGGGGTTGAACAAAACATAACCATCAATGAAGATGCCAGGCCAGTTCCAAAAAGCCAGTGGGGACCAGAAGACCCTCATCTATATACCACCAGCTGAGCACAGAGACACACGCTGCACAGCTGTTGTATCACCACACTGGACTTGAACACCACAGCCCAGTATTGGCATTTCTGGGCATAAATGTTTTTCCAAAGCTCTTCCAGGAACCAATGGTCCACATAGTTATCAAGGAAGGGCCACCACTCATATAACACCTTCTGCCACTTGGCCTTCTTGGTGCTAATTACAGGTCGGGCACATGTTATCCTTTCCCTTAAACTCAGGCCAGTTCTGGTCCCATCAAAGAAATCCATGTGGTTCTTATTCTTTATGAAAATCTTTTTTTTTAAATAATCTTTCAGTTGTTGATAGACCTTTAAGTTTATATGCGGTGCTGAGAATCTAACCCAGAGCCTCAAACATGCCAGGCAAGTGCACTACTGCTGAGCCACAGCTCCAGCCTTCTTTATGAAATCTTCAAATGATTTCTCTAGAAATTCCATGCTGTTAACTACCAACTTTTCCTTGTTTCCAAAGGTAGCAACCAATGTTAGGCCCACAATGGATGAGTTGGTTCTCTGAGGCAGGACATCCTGCCCGTGAGATCCTAGGACTGCGTAAGCCCAATCATTTCTGATAATGTGTACCTGAGCCAGGTGTGGTGACGTACCTACAGTCCCAGCTACTCAGGAGCCGGAGGTGGGAAGATTCCTTGAGCTTGAGTTCCAGGTCAACTGGGCAATGAGTCAGACCCCATTTCAAAACAAAACGAAAAACTGAATGTGTATCAACAACCTTCCCCATCTGCTCAGCCGTAGTTACCACCAACTTTATCTGCAGAGGAGCTCCACCATCCTAGTCCTGCCCCTACAGGGCTCTGGACAGTTCACGACTCAGGCACCATCTGTTCCCCTAAAGCCATCAGAGGGCACCCGAATCACCAATCACATCCTCCTACCTCACTCACTGCCAAGGCCCACACCGTTCTTCCTCCTCCTCTATGGCCCTCCTAGCTGTTCCCCAACCACTTTAGCCACCTCAGGGCCTTTGAAGGGAGCTGGCTGTCTTCTCTGCCAGGAACTCTTCCTGGAGATAACTATGAGGCTTGTGGGAGGCACCTCCCAAAACTTCTGCTCAGGTCAGTTCCCAGAAGCCTCTCTCCAACACCCTGCCACATCCCCGACCCTGCTCCATACTGGGGATTGAACTGAGCTACATCCCAGCCCCCGCCCCGTTTTTGTGTGTGTGTGTGTGTGGTGTGTGTGGTGTGCTGCTGGGGATTGAACCCAGGGCTTCATGCATGCGAGGCAAGCACTCTACCAGCTGAGCTATATCCTCAGCCCCCCAGCCCTTTTCATTTTGAAACAGTGTCTGTCTTTTTCCCCCAGTGTGATACTGAGAATCAAACCCAGTGCCTCACACATTAGGCAAGCACTCCAACACTGAGCTACAATACCAACCCTGACACAGGGTCTTGCTAGACTGCCCAGGCTGGTCTTGAACCTGCAATCTCTCTGCCCTGGCCTCCCTAAGAGCTGGGATTACAGATTATAGGAGTGGATCACTGCCCAGCTCCAACACCCTTTACTAAATGGCACCCCTTTCTCTTCTCATGACAAGAAAATCCTGGGGGCTGGGGGTGTGACTCAGTGGCAGAGGGCATGTGTGAGGCACTGGGTTCAAGTCTCAGAACTGCATATAAATAAATGAATAAAATAAAGGTCCATCAACATCTAAAAACTATTTTTAAAAAAAGAAAGAAAATGGAGCCTGGGTGGTGGCACACACCTGTGTAATCCCAATCATTGGGGAGGCTGAGGCAGGAAAATTGCAAGTTGGAACTCGAGGCCAACCTCAGCAACTTATTGAGGCTGTCTAAAAATAAAATAAAATAAAATGGACTGAGGATGTGGCTCAGTGTTTAAGGCCTCTGGGTTCAATCCCTAGTACCAAAAATAAATAAAAGGGGTCTTGTTATGCTGTCCAGGCTGATCTTGAGCTCCTGGACTCAAGTGATCCTCCCCCATAGCTGGCATCATAGGCGTGCCCCATGACATCACACTAGCCTGTCTTCTTCTTTAACATTACTGCCACTTGCTGTGCATGTCACTTGCTCTGGAACATCTGTCCCCAGAGGGCAGGAATCATGGCCTGACTAGCCCAGGATGTGGCTGAGGCTTGAGTGGCACCCCCAGCAGGGACTATATCCACTCAAAAGGGACCACACCCTCTTACCATGAGGTTGGCATTGGCAATGTGGTGCTTAACCACGCCTCCACCCAGGATGATCATTCCAGAGCGCTTGGCAAAGATGGCCTGCGTGTTGATGAGCCGTAGGTCTGAGGAAAGGGCATGGTCAGGCCTCGGACTGGGTACACCTTCTCCCCCCACCTCGAGGGTTCCAGTGCCTCACCCTCAATGATGTCAAGGACTAGGCCAGGATTCTTGTAGGAATGGAAGAAGATCATGTCACCCAGTGAGCCATCTGTCAATGCTGGGCTGAGCACAGGAATATGGTTCTGAGGGAAGACAGGGCAGGTCAGTAACTGCAGCTCAGTGGGAGCACCCTGATCCCCATTCTAGGTGCATCTTTGCCTGCCTGGCTGGCTGGGAATAGTCTGTTTAACTTCTCTGGGCCTATTTCCTCAACCATAAAATATGGATACCAACACCACTTGCAGATGAAGAGGAAGATGTGAGAAAACCAACTGTGACACTTAAGGAGACGGGAGCTTAGTGAGTAGTAGCTCTTGTTACTTTTCAGATTCTTGGATTCCACAGTCTCTAGGGAATGTAGTCCCTGGGGCCAGGCCCTAGGGATTTGCTGAGCACTGCCACAAACTGTTCCCAGATGAACTAAGAGCACAGCCAAGAAATCCAAAGCTCCATTCAATAGCTGTGTGACTTCAAACAAATTACCTAACCTATCTGTGTTTGAGGTTCCTCATCTAAGAATGGGAATCCTGATCATAACAGTAGTGACTCCCCAGGTGTCTTTGAAGTCTGGTGACTTTGCCCCCACCCAGACCCTCACCTTCTGGGCCCAGTAATACACTGACTCTGGGTTGTTGATCTCCTTGCCGAGCCGAGCAATCATCTTGGAAGGGGTCCACTTCACACCCTAGGAGGGAGGGGATGTCAGCACTAATCCCTGATTTCACCATGCTGGTCCCCCCAAGTTTCTCCAGCCCCACCTCTGTGTTCTGCTCCAGCACCATCTGGTCCAGAATGGGCATCAGCCAGTCCTCAAATTTGCAGTAATTGTCATTGGGCACCAGCAGGTTCCCAATCCTGGGAATGGGAGGAATGGAGGCATCAGTCCCCAGTCTCCTCAGCCCAGTTCACTTGCCCATCACCACTCAGGGCCCCCACCTGTTGATTCCATTCTCCCGGAGCTCCTTCCCTTTGAGGCTGAACTCGCCCAGATATGTGGGTGCCAGACACTTGATGAGATCCTCCTCCACACCTCCTGCAGTTGTCACCAACACATCTACCTGCAGCCATAGGACAGCGAGGTTGGCCTTAGTCCTGGCAGGACCCCTAACATCAGCCCTCATTCATTGACCTTTTGTGGGGAGCTCTTCTATTTTACTCTGTGATACTGAGATTGAACCCAGTGCTCTTCCTCTAAGCTGCATCCTCAGCCTTTTTATTTTTTATTTTGAGACAGTATTTCACCTGATTGCTAAGGCTGGACTTGAACTTGCCTCAGCCTCCCCAGTAGCTGGGATTATAGGTGTGAGCCAAGATGCCCAGAGGGAGCAGCACTCTTCTTAAAACTAACCCATATCTCCTCATCTCATTTAACCTGTCAATTTTATTACTCACTGACCCAGAAAGACCAAGGTCAAAACCCTATCAGATCCCCACCATGTTATGCTGCACAAGGTAGCGAATGGTCTCACGGATGCCTGAACTGATAAGGTTAGATGTATATCCCAGAAAAATGGTGCAGCCAGTGAGTGGGCGGCGGCTTTGGGTCAGGTCTGCGTGCTGGTCTTCATCCTGAGATAGCGGCTCCAGCTTCTTCTCGATCTGTGGTAAGGGCCAGGTCGAGTTAGCGTCTGGCCCCAAACCCCATCACAAGGACCCCAAGTGGGTTTTCAGTCAGGTTC